ACACGATCGTATCTCGAGAAGTTAAAGTCGTATTGAGATAAATCGAAATGCGTTTTAAAGAGCAAAGCATCCAAGCCTCGTTCATTCGTTGACCGGAAGTAATTTCAAAGTTATAACGATTCAAAGTTTTTCACAGAGATTTTCAAAGAGATTTTTAACAGAGTTTAATAAACAAGGGTTAACTTTCCCCTAAAATTTTTCGAATATCTGAAGCTGAATATTTTGTCACGCGTAATTAATACACGCGTGTGACGTATCATTTGTATATAAAAAAAAAAAAAATCCGTGGTCTAATTCGTCAGATCTATGATAGAGCATGATCGAGATGATTCAGCCTCGCATCGATTACAAACTTTTAAACAGAATTTATATCTCCAAAATATAATGAAAGTTAAGTGGAGCAAGTTTAAAGCACTCGGTCGTCAAACTAGTTTTCACGAATTTCATTTTCCATTCGGGAAAATGGAAATTGGATGTTAATGGAAAAGTACAGTGGGTTATTAGAGCACGGGGCGCAAAGCGAAAAGTCAATGGGGGGTGTTTTGGCGCGGCCTTCATAGAATTCTCTCGGGAGTAAAAGAGAGATACGTGGAAAGAGCAATCCTCCTGTAAATTCCTGGCTATTCACCGCCGAATTCCGAGAGCGCGGACGTATCCGGGCGGAATGTGGTCCGCCGCCAACTGTGGAGTATCGAAAAGCAAGAGTACTCGCTGACATCGGCCCGACTCGTCGATTTAAAATATGCATACCGATATGGAAAAGTTGGGCTCGAAACTTAAATTCCCCCCGCTTTTATCGCTATTTAAAAAAATACATCGCCACCTTTCGAATCGTCTAAATCGTGATATAAAAATAATTCGACTTTTATATAATATTGATTCTCAAAATGAATTCGAGGGCTCGTTTATCACGTATTATTATCGATACGATATCGATGAATAAAAATAGAGGGAGGGAATTTTTTTGGTAGAAATTAATTGTCCGAAAAAGTACGGAGAAGAGCGCCGGAGAGAAATGGTGGAAAAATGGGAAAAAAAATTGATTGCAGGGCTCGAAGAAGCCTGCGAGTACGGCGTCAGGAGATCGCGGGGCCCTCCTCTGAAAGAAGGGGCTCCGCGCGAGAAGGGGCACGTAAACGTAGTACCCCTGGACCCGTCGTGGTGTTGTCCGCCGGGGGTGGCGGTGGTGGTGGGGGCGGAGGTGGGTGCAGACGCCGTGACTTGGAACGACGCGGAGGTGGCGGTCGGGGGGCTCCCTGTCTTGCCACCATCAGCTCCTCTGTCGCGGGGAGCGCGGGGGGTTGTGGCCCTGTGGTGGGGCTTCCCTCCTATAAAAAGCGTCAAGGTATCTTCTTCAACGCCCCGAAAAGGATCGATCTTGTTTTCACGAATTTTTTTATTCGAGCAATAATCTACAGATCAATTTTTTTTCCTCTTCGTTTCTTTTCTTTTTTTTTTTTTTTTCTCACAAATTTCTTATGCGCGATCTGTATCTACAGTTTGTTTCTTTTTTTTTTTTTTTTTTTGTACTTTATTTTATTTTCTCGCAGTGAAATCATTAAAATAATTCGTTCATTTCCATCTCGAAATAATTCGTTCATATTTCGAAATTAATTAATTTAATAAATACGTTCCGTGTTCCGAGCGAGTAGTGAATTTTAATAACGTATTATATACGGACAATAGTGACTACGTTTAAATTTGGATACACTTATTTATATGAATATAAATAATCAGTGATTGATACAAATATATCTGAATATTTAAAAATTACGATCGAAATAATTCTTCATCTTTAAAAATATTACGATTCAATTTTCAAAGATAATATCGTGGAATTATTAAACTTTTTAATCGTGAATTTTACTCGAACTAGAAAAGAAAGCAATTGGAAATTTTGTATAAGTAATGAAATTGTTTCGTGCATCCGTTAATGAGAGAGCTTTGTTGATGAAATGGGGGAGATTGTTAATTAAAACGGTATATAAAAAAAAAAGAAATATAATAATTAAGAAATAACCAGGAGGAAATTCCTGGTAGATTGGATAATTAATTAGTTTAGGAGTCGAAGAAAAATAAAAGAAAAAGTATATTATTACTATATGTTAATTAAACGATGCTGGCAACTTTTATATTATTTTTTTTTTATATATATCATTAGTAGATTCTAATAATTAAATTATTAGTAGATTATTGTTCTAATAAAAATATCACAATTTGCTTCTATAACGCATAAAATTTCATTCTCATTCGAAAATTCATTCAAATTCATTCTTCAATATTATTCGGTGGTAATAATGATATCATTTCTCATGCTAAAAGAGGATAATTGCAAACGCTTTGTGCAATTTTGAAAGAATTGAATGCAATGTTATGTAAGAATATACCTTTTACGTATTTTTTCATAGAAATATTTCAAATTTATTATTTAGCAAAAGTAGTTAAATGATAATACACGATGTATTCGGAAATTTAATTATTTTTATTATATACAAGGAAAAACGAGAACGTTGGAATATAACGTCGATCGAAATACACAGAAGGTAGAATAATTTGATACATCGTTGATATATATATATATATATATTATTTTCAAAAGATTAACATTGTTAACTCTTATCAGAGTTAAACAGAGCGTATAGTAGATAAGCAAAGACAAGTTACGCCTAGCTGACTGTTCTCAATCTTATCTAGCTTGTCACGTTAAACGTATTAGACTTGTCCTCACTTCCAAAGGCTTAGTATCCTAAACAAGCTCATGGTAAATTTAATCCATTATGGTCGATCATTGCGCGCAGAATTTCAATTTCACCAAAGTACCGTGATCAAAAAGACGCATTTACATCGATCCCATCGTACAAATTCGATTGAAATTAAAATTCAAATTCAAATTTGATCAAATTTACACATTCGTTCTTACGGTTCGTTTCTTGGACAAAGCTTGAACGTCTTATTCCAGGTCGAGAAACATTTAGGTCACGCTTAAATCCGTATCCATATCCGACACCTAAGGGTAAACACCCTTGATGATGATTAGTCGTCTCGCGTGATCGAAATCTCGATACGTGCGTTAATTGCATTATTTCGTTGGCCGCTCCTCGTTGGATCGATAATCGAAATCCGTCGCATATTGATCAAAAATTAGCAAGTGAAAATTTCTGATTAGGTATTTTGATTTCAATTGTACCGTTCCCTCTCGTTAACTGGATGCTGGATAACAATTACACGGAATAATTTGCCTTTCAATTAAGCAATTTCGCTAATTAAAGAAGTAATTACCGATATCCTATTCCATCCCTCCGTTTGTTTCAAAGTCAGTTAACATCATTCGCCCTATCCGCTTAATTTCCAGGACGCGGTTACAGATTATTTAACGCATATCCGAATATATCTGGCCTGCTGCTCATCATTCAAGCGGATAATTCGCGTCTATAATTACCGTTTCTAATTATTTAGGCTTTGTTTGCAAATCAGCACGGTTCGCACAAGTAGGCGCGTTTATCGCGCGTTTATCACGCCCTCCCCTTAATTGTAACGGACGAGATGCATCGACGTTGCCCGACTTGACACTGACGTGATTAAATTTATAGGAATTTATATGTATAGGAATTTTAGGAAACGCATCGTTGATAATGAAGAAATGATGGAAATTTATTTTTCCTCTCGATCGAGAGTAGATAAAATTAAGAAATTAAACCTCTGTGAATTTCGATCGATCTTTGTAGAGAAGATCAGCATCATGGTCGTCTATGTTATCAGTTACAAAATGGAAATATTTTAGACAAGTAGATAGATAGAAATACACGAGGGACACGCACGGGTTATCGATCGGTTTCGGGATTCCTCTTTAATCCAACTTTTTCATCCTCGTGGTGAATGTTTTAACGCCTCTTTCGATAAAATTCTCCGATTCTCGCAATTAAATTTTCTATTTTTATAAACCTGTTCCCATGTTCTCGTTACAAATTCGAGCCAGCTATTTTTCACGCGACACGTACTCGACCCTCGCCTACGATTCGCTTGAAACATTGATATGCCTGCCAACAAGTTCAAGCCGATTTTTGTTATTATTATTTCGATTTTATTTGGTTTATGTGTATCTGTACAGAGATTTTTTTATAAAATTTATATACGTACGTACGTACGTACGTGTCATCAATGTCGAATGAATATTCAGATACGTCGATTCAATTCCCCCGCTTGAAATTTGAATTTCACTTTCGTTCGAGAGAAAGAAAAATTGCTTGAGATTAAGAAAAGTAAGTAAAGATACCCGAACCTCTGACCTTTACGCCAGAAATCATAGATAGTTGCTCAGATGTTTGAACAAACTTGCGCATAATACGAACGATCGGGCAACGATAAAGGCACGCGGAAAGCTTTGAAAGCAAATAGCTTCGAAACTTTGGAGTATCCGCTTCTAAATGTGTTTGATTAAAGAGGAACAAGTCCGTTGCGCGGAGGGGAGGGAGGGTTAAAAGTTTCGTTAAAATCCGCGTGACGAAGCTCGGGGAAATTCCCTTCTCCTGCTATAAATAAATTCGCTCGAAAGTTCGCAATAATATTTTACGAAATATTTTACGAAATAAACACGGCGAATTAACCGTCTCGACCGTTACACGTTGGAAAGTTCAACAGTTTCCACGAACGAAAAGGAAAACGAACCCCTATTAATCCCGTTTGACGATCTTTCGTGAAAAAAAATCAAAACTTGAAAGTAACTTGAAAGTCGAAACGCATCTCTGTACATTTGCACGAGTAACGCTCCAAACGAAACATTTCTGTTTTACCGGGAAAATAAATAAATTTTCAGATAATAATTCGCGATATCTGTAGCGTAAGTTATATATATATCGCGATTTTACTACAATATGTATATATCGCACACACACATACACACACATACACACATGACAGAGCACGCAACGATTATAGCGAATTTCGTGGAATTGTCGCGTAGCGTTTAAGCGGCGTTATAACTCGGTGTTATAATCTGGAAGGTAGCGGTGCCGCCTGGGGTCGTGGTAGCCGTGGCCGCGGCAGAGGTCGCGGGGGCGGCGCGAGCCTCCTCGGTTCAGGCGTCGCCCCCGCGAATTACAATTCAGGACTGCAGGGCGTAGCGCCTGAGCTGCGAGAAGTGGTGAACATTCTTGGGGAGAGGAACCAGGTTGGCACGCTGACGGGCGTGGGGCCACCGCCGGGAGCCTTGGACAGCGACGGCCAGGGGGACGAGGAGGAGGGCACCTCGACGAAAAGGCCGCCTAGGCCCCTCTACAGGAGGCTGATCAATTACGTTCGACAGGCGTGGACCGGAGTGAAATTCGCTCTAGGTATTTTGGCTAATTATTAGCTAATTATTCGTTCGCACGGTATTCCCGCAAGTAGTATGTATTTATTTTGCATGATGAACGAAATTTCTTAGATATTTTCCCCGTCCCAGTTTTTTTATTAGAAAGTTTCGAAAGGTGTTTGAAGTATGTCCATTTAGAAACGTTTATCGGAACGGAGTTGCATGTGTTAATTGATCGTAAGCTATCAAGCTGAGAGGAAACGGCATTCTATCCGTGATTTCTACAGTGAAACACGCATTTATATTTATATACGCGAGCAAATTTCAAAAAACACGAAGTTGTAGCTAGTAGAGACGAAGCAGATGAAATTTTGGAATGCAAATATGTTTTATGTTATATGTTAGTAAAGTTGATTCCAATTTATGAATGGAATTATAGCTAGCTTTCGATTGTCGTTAAAAGTGCATGTGTTAATAAGCTATCAATTTGAAGAAAAGCAATCCCTTAAACAGTATTAGAAAATATTTCCAATTTAAATTATAATTTATTTATCTCGGCATTAATGCACAATTTTTTTATATATAAACACAAAGTTGCAGCTAAAGGGACGAAATAAATGAAATTTTGGAATGCAAATATGTTTTGCAAAGTTGATGCCAATTTATGAATAGAATTACAGCTAGCTTTCGATTGTCGTTAAAAGTGCATGTGTTAGTAAGCCATCAATTTGAGAGGAAGTCCTTTAAACAGTCCTCGTGTTGAAAATATTTCCAATTTTTTTAAAAATCCAATTAAATTTTTATATATAGCAATTTTTATATAGCAAACTCGAAAACATAGCTAAAAGTTGGTAGGGACGAAGTAGATGAAATTTTGGAATGCAAATACGTTTCGCAAAGTTGATGCCAATTTATGAATTGTAGCTAGCTTTCGATTGTCATTCATTTAAAGTGCATGTGTTAATAATCAATTTGAAGAAAAACAATCCCTTAAACAGTATTAGAAAGTATTTACAATTTAAATTACAATTTATTTATCTCGGCATTAATTTAATACACAATTTTTCTATATATAAATACAAAGTTGCAGCTAAAGGGACGAAGTAGATGAAATTTTGGAATGCAAATATGTTTCGCAAAGTTGATGCCAATTTATGAATAGAATTGTAGCTAGCTTTCGATTGTCATTCATTTAAAGTGCATGTGTTAGTAAGCCATCAATTTGAGAGGAAGTCCTTTAAACAGTCTTCGTGTTGAAAATATTTCCAATTTTTTTAAAAATCCAATTAAATTTTTATATATAACGAATTCGAAAACACAGCTAAAAGTTGCAGCTAGTAGGAAAGCAGATGAAATTTTGCAAATATGTTTCGCAAAGTTGATGCCAATTTATGAATAGAATTGTAGCTAGCTTTCGATTGTCGTTCGTTTAAAGTGCATGTGTTAGTAAGCCATCAATTTGAGAGGAAGTCTTTTAAACAGTCCTCGTGTTGAAAATATTTCCAATTTAAATTGTAATTTATCCCGTCATTAATTTTTTTAAAAATCCAAGTAAATTTTTATATATAACAAACTCGAAAATACAGCTAAAAGTTTTAGCTAGTAGGGACGAAGCAGATAAAATTTCGGAATGCAAATATGGTTTCGCAAAGTTGGTGCCAATTTATCGCGTATACCGCACCGTACGCTCGAATCGTATCCCATGAAGTGGTTGGAACACATTTTCCAGGGACGTGCGAGTCTCCTCTCCTCGAGCTTCTGTTCCAAGAAGCCCCCCCAGTTGCTTACGTGCTTTACCCAGTCATCTATGTTGCATGATTCCCTACATACTTCTTCCTGCGTACATGCACACGTCCTCCCCCTCGCTCTTCCCCTCCGTGTTTCCAAAGGTTATTGTGCTCGACTTATACTCCGATCGACCTTCTTCTTCTTCTTCTTCTTCTTCTTCCTCCTCCGATACTTCCTCTTGCTCAACGACTATCATTGCATTCTGCCATGTCGATGTTCGAGTAAAGCTCGATGAAAAATTCAAGCCGCCATTTAGAAATCCTTTTAAATATCAATGAAATAATTCATCGAGGTTAATGAGAAATTATTACCGAGTGTATTTGGAAAGGAGAAAAAGATATGCAAGGAAAAAATTATCCCGTTAACTCTCCGGAGAAGTTATTATTATTGATCTTCATCACTTTCGATTATCTGAAAAGTTTGTTTTCTCCCGAGAAAAATATTACAGTGATAATTTGGAGAATAAATAAATGAAAGTTGTAGAGGGAAAGAATTCGAGGGATACGAGCATCGATCGACGATACACGAGAAAAAAAAAAGGGAAGAAAAATAGGTCAACATTTCCCCATTGAAGAAGGGGAACAGTTTCCAATAAATTTCTTTACTCGTCGCCGCCGCCGCCTTTCGCTCCCGTGAGAGGTAACTGAATTCTCGAAAGCATTTCCACTGCAATTCAACGCCTCGTTTAATCGCGAGATGAATAAAAGCATACGTCGCGATCGAAACAAGCTGACAATAGGTTTCTGCCGCGGGAAATTCATTTAAACGGGCGTAAAGGTGTAGCAGTCGTGATTGGTGCATCGTCGATCGCACGTGCCTCGAATTATGCTGCGATCGAAAAGAAATGGAAAAAAACGCGCCAATTGTTAATTGCTTTTAACCTTTCGATCAACGATTTTTAGCAAAATATCCATTATTTTCGACCCATTGCTTTATTCCTAGAACTAAAATTTAAAAAAAAACTAAAATCTATGTAGAAGAAAAACATTTGTTCGTTTTGCAAAGAAAAAAAGGAAATTAATGGACGTATATAAACGGATTAAAGGAGGGAAAACGGAGAGAGAGAGAGAGAGAGAGAGATAAAAGTGTGAAATAGACGTAAAAAATCTCTTTGGATTTCTTCCGTGTAATGGAGATTTCAAGCCTGGTGAATCCGCGCCAACTATAATATACGATTGCCAAGGAACCTCCTGCGTTGTACAGCGGGGAGTATCCACATCTATACTTCATACGAATTTCAATTACAAACGGATATTCTTTTCCGTACGAAGATTTATTTTAGAATTTTTCTATTGAAAAACGATACGACAAATTAATGTCTCTCTCTCTCTCTCTCTCTCTCTTTTTCCTTTTAACATATGCGTCGTTCACAATAAATGACGAAACTGAAAGGGATCAGTAAGAAATATTATTGTATTTTGCTTTAAAATAATTATATTCGAAACTAAACGTTTACTTTATAATGTTACAGTGAATTCGAATCCATCGATGATGTTAAATCCTTCTCCTGGAACAGAATACCATATCCGAAATTGAAATTTCAAAGTTTATCCGAGCAAAGTTCCTTGATTTCCTAGACACGTATTTCATGAATCTGGCACTGCACATCAGAGGATACCACTTTATCTAAATAAATATCTGCATCCGTAACACATCAGAGAAATTAGTTGTTTGCTTTTTAGAATAGTACGTCCTTCATGAATATTAAAAACTATTTATTATTTGCATGGTTGTAAAACGCACAGTTTCCTAAATCCGTGGTATATGGAAATAATCAACGTAAACACGTTAACCTCGAATACGCTATAATCGTCGTTTTCACGCGACTCCGCATGCGTTTCAAATAGCGCATCGCGTTAACGCGAGTTTAATTGGTCGAAAGCTGAATATTATACGGATACCTACTTGAGGATTAAACCAGGCGTAATATTGAAAATTGGTTGATAAAGTTTCTAGTTGACAAGCTTTCGTTCGTTCGTATTAAATCAACCGGAACCCTTTAATGTCGTATCGCCGTAACGGAGTTTTCATTTATCGCTTTATCGCGCGGATCTATACGGAAAATGGGAAATTTTAATCAACATTGCGTGGAAAGATGTGCGATTAAAACCTATCTATCTTTTTATTTTCGCCTAGCGAATGATAAATCGATCGAAATTCAACCAAAAACCTCGCTTCGAATCTGATAAATCTCTATCTCTATCTTCACACCTCGCTTAACCGGCCGCCTTTTTCGGCTTCTTTAACAACTCGGCTATCGGAATATACCGCTCGCAAAATGTACTTTGCAAAGTCGTAAAACACCCTTCGGAACAAACTGGCCAAACTGTGTCCGTGTAGATGTAGAACTGGATGCGCGATATTATATCCTTGTGAACAGAATTTCGAATTCTATGATCTAGAAACTGTGTCTATATTTCTGTGGTACGATTTTTTTATACGATACCAGAACCAATCTCGAATCGATTTATAATAATAATTTAATACAGTTACGAAATAATTGTTGTATCGGTTTAGTTAAACCTAAACCACACGCTGATTAAACATCTCAGTCAGATAGACAAGTATTTCTTCCAAAGAATGTTTAATCAATGTGGAAACCGATTCGATCGGGCAAATTGGACCGATGATTAACTCTCTCGTGATCTCGATTTTTCAGACTCGGAGTACGAGGAGGAACAAACGCCGAGATACAGGCCCGACTCTTTGGCGAGTCTTTGTCGTGCCACCAGATTCACAGAGGCAGAGTTGAAGAGAATATATCGTGGCTTCAAGGCGGAATGTCCCACGGGAGTCGTCAGAGAGGAAACTTTCAAGTGCATCTATTCACAATTCTTTCCGCAAGGAGGTAGATATATATATATATATCACGATGATAACGACATTTTTTGAAAAATTTTACTATCGTTTTAATTAATGACGAATACGTGGGGAATGAAATAGTGGAAAACGAACGGAATTTTAATTCGTTCGAGGATTAAGTTCGACTCTTCATTTCGCTCTTTATTTCCTTCTTTTCGAAGACGTTTATTTTCTTTTTTTTTTTTTTTTTAAGATCAGTTCGAAATATTTACCGATGTTTATACGATTCTTAAAAATCTGTCGTGCCGTTTATCATTCCGTTCAATGAAATAAACGATCCTGGATACACAGGTAGCCGATAAATCGAGCATTGTATTCCTCGCACGTTTTTTAGCTCGATAAAGAAGCAGATTGAGAAGTCGTTGAAATTATTTTCTCCATTTTCTTCGGGGAGGGAAACAATTATTTTGATGTAAACGTTGCGAATTGAGCACCTTTCTTCTCGAATTCGAATGAAAATACGAGCAAATACGAAACGATAAACAAGCAATGGTATTAAAAAAAAGAAGACGAGTATCTTGTTAAAAAAGATTCGAATTTTAAGATTCGCCCCAATGCTATTTCTCCCTCTTTTATTCCAGGTTCCGCGTTAAAAAAAAAATTCCCTTTGTTTCGCGGTGTGAAGCTTGGTCGAAAAACATAAACAATAGGTCAGATATATGCGTAAAGGTAGCGGGTAAAGAAAAATACAAAGAGAGAGAGAGAGAGAGTAAAATCGAATAGAGCAAATAGCCCCATGATATTTCATTGAGCGCAGATATAGTTACCATGGTAACAAACTCCGGTGGTATCAAAATCGTCCTACGTTTCAAACATTCCCCTTTATCCGTCCGTATAAACGATATCGATATTCGTCGGTGAACAGTTCCCTATCGATTTCAAATATTTTTGTGCTTTCCAAGGTTTTCTCGTATACTTGGAAAATGTTTACTTTCCAGTCGATGGATAGGAAAAAAAAAAAAAAAAAAATCTCCATTTTATGTTTATTTTATATTTTCCTCCAATTTATCCGTCATCGATAATAATTTATCATTCCATCGTTCATACGATTCACGA